TTTTGTTTTTGTTTTTGAAGAGTCTAGAGCAGTGTATGGTCTTATTTTCACATGACTTCAACACCCACATTTTATTATTTTCAAATTTAAAGGTCACCGTCGTCAAAGGTCAACCTTGGAACTACCGCCTATGGATATGTAGCATCAATGAGTGAACGCCCACTTTTTTTGAAGTTAATTCAAAATCTCAACTTTTCTAGAAATTGACCCTAGGAGTTATTGACTACTTGAACACAGATCTTACATTCGTTCGTCCACTCAAAAACGGCTGAAGCGCGTGCTCCGTATACTGGTGCGCCTTAACCTGATGTGGTGGCATGCAAGTTAGGAAAAATTTCGAAGCTATTGACCTCAAACTCATTCAAAAGGAAGTAGGGCTGACCAATGATGAAGGAATCATGTTTCACTACTGCCAAATAGTCAGTCACAAAAATGCAAAAGCAAAAGCACACTACAGATCCCAACCACTGACCCCGGAATCCCAAGCCCACCACCTTAACCACTAAGCCACCAGCACCGGTCAGAGTGGAGCACTGCTTCGCTCACAAGCCGCTGCTGCTGAGGAATTTTCACTGTGTCAAACTGTGTGGGGGAACGAAAAACCTCCGTAACTCCGTTCTGCGAATCGTTTGGCAGATTTGAGAAGAAGATTCGAGATCAGCGTCTGAAACCACGTACCATGATACTTGTCTCATTCCATATGGCCACTTCGACCGTTCATCTTTCTAAGCTAAGTTGATGAAGGGCGCTACGCAGATAATGATTTTGCTCCTCAGGGTCTCATATTGCTCACTGAAGGCAGCACCACGATCGAAGTGCTTCACTCATTCTGTTATAAAATTTGCCATATTGAACGATCAGTGCTGGAGGTGCTCCGATGGTTTGGTTTAGGAAAACAGCCCATCAGATCCCGAAAACACCTTCCATCTCACAAATAGCTCATCTTATCACAAACCAGGCTTGCAATTTGTTATTTTTAAGAAAAGGCACGGCAGAAACCCCTAATAAGGACACATTACCGAGTGAAATATGATATAACGCGATATAGCGAAATGCATTTTGTGGGTCATAAACGAGTACTTCGGCGAACACCTCATTGGTGCAGCGTAACTCATCCAAGTTAAAGTGTAGAGACGAGAAAATCGGTTGTTTGTTCACAAATTTTCGGACGTTTTTGTTTTTTTGTTTGCTGTTTGATGACAGCGTGACGTTGCACTTGCATTATAACAAACCTCTGACACTACTAATATCGTTGTTCTTGTTTAAGATCATCAAACCAGAATGCTTTCAAACAATGTGGAGCGCTTTTCAGAAACAAATTGAGAGGAACATTCGTGAGATTAAGAGTGTTGACTTGCAAAACCAGGTTTTTTCAGCGCCGCTCAAAAAACCGAAATCACCTTCATGAAGAATTTTTAGAGCTTTTGGACATTTTTGTGCTTAAACATGTCTGAAATCCTAGAATAAGTAACCTTCAACATGCGATCATTTAGCGTTAAAAACTTCATGCAAGACGTTAAAATCGTAAAAGTGTGGTTTATAACAGTTTCCGAATCAAGAAATTCAATTTCATGTTCCATGTAATGCCCCCATGCAACACAGAAAAACGTTTTAAATAAGCCCTCCATGTCCGAACCACCTTTCTGGTAAGTAACGTAGGAAGGTTGAGTCTAAAAAGTCGTTCCAAGGCTGGACTCAGTTTCCTGGCTACGCAAAAAAACGATAAATACTAGGCCATCAACCTATTATGATGATTCGAATGCACCCTCAACTAAAGTTATTATCATCCAATAACCCTACTATATCACGCCACTAATGCAATGGGTTCGTTGGCTACTGCAATTTCAAAATATTGTTCACTGTATATGTTAAAAATCCTGAGACTCCAGAAAAACATTCCAGTCACAATCAAATTGGTCTTATTATAGCGCAGAACAATACAATAAAGAGCACTTGATATTTCGGCTACGGAAAGCCGAACAGCTGTAGTGAACACCTTCCAAACAAATAAAGGAGGAATGTACGCATGAAAGATTTGTTGAAATGAAATCCTGTGGCAATAAGTGAAGAGGAAAACGTCTGGAATGAAAATGCACCTTGGGCGGCCATCTAGTTTTGGAGGTGCAATGTGAGAGGGACAGGCGCGCACTAGTGTAAACTGGTCATGTGGCTTTCATCATCTCGAACGAGTGTAGTAAGTCTTCGTTCACGTATTTACAACTGACTCAAGAAAAACTCCCCGAAAGTACACCATAACACTTCACTCGTCCCATTTGTACATATTGCCTTGCAGCCCTTCTTGTGCTTGTGCTTTCACGCAGCACTGCTTCCCAATCAGGATCGATCAAATGTATGTAGAGGTTGCATTTGAGACTTTTGGGAGAAGGGCCATCTGGAGGGAATGCAGCCTTTTCAGAAGATGTGAGAAATGGAATTTTATCGGAAGCTAAAGAAATATTGCGAAATTCAGGCAGGTATTGCAACTTTGAAAAATTTGCTGTTTCGAGGAATGACCATACCCCAACCTCCATATCATGCTTTTTGGATTTAGGGGTCAAAGTGGAGTGTTTTATGTTGAGTCGACTCAACGACACTATAGAACGGAGTCGTCAAGCGTTATGTTGGGTAAAATTTTGCAACTGGACATTGCTCCACACAACTCACCCCCCACCCCGCCCTTCATTGAAAAGAGCCTCGACACTACTCTCCACAATCAGCACACTATCCGACCCACCCCCTCACAATTCCACGCTCCCCTCATGCGGGAAGTAGCCTCATCACTATGGTTCGTTCTATACCATTTGATTTCGAGACCGGATAACACACTCCAACCCAGCCCATTTTCCTCCTTAGTTGAGTTTGAACAGGTTCTACTGTTGTGGAGAGCTCAAATATGACTAAGAAACGGCAAATCATCTAGTCTCACCTACTCTACGCTTTAAAAAATAATTATTTTTTAAAAAGTTTCGCCCAAATTGTGCAAAACTCCTGGCGAAAACAACCCCCCTCTCTCCACCTCGACACGACCTCAACAGCTTCAGCCACTGAGACACCCCTCAAAATCCCAGTAGGACCCAACGTCTTGTCGAACCAGACGAACAGTTGATTCTAACATCGACTCCGCCCATCACTGGAAGGGGATGGGGCGAAAGGAGAAAGAGGCATAGCCGGAGTTGGTTAATCTTTACGCTTGACCTTGCCAACAATACAACAAAAATTTAGTAGTAGCTTAGTGAATCTAAATGAGTTGCACTCACGATTACTACCGGTTGTATTCGATAAGTACAAGTTTCCGGATGACAATTCCAGTTGTCACATAGCAACGGTAGACCGCAGTCACACTGTTCATCCTCCTCAATAACACCATTTCCACAGATTGGTTCGCTACTGTAACAAAATATTTCGAATCAGGAGCTGTACTAGAGATGACATGCAAACTATTACATTATTGCCATCGGTTCTGTTCGCATGCACTTCTTCTGATACATCACATTGACGAATTGCTGAGCTGTACAATCGTGATCGAATCCACTGAAATCGTTGTAAGGACTTAGTATTTACGTAAATTACCACAGATTTTTCTTCCCAAAAAGTTACGAGTGCTGCTGGAGAACTGAAGCAAATCAGAAGCTAAAATGTATCTTTAATCTGAAGACATATGTATATGAAGGATAAATTATATAGTTTCTGGCGTTGATCTTAATACGACACACTAAGCATACGATTTCTACTCAGGTGGTTTGGTGTTGGCATGCTGTTTCGCCTACACAATGACTTGATGGACAGTCAGATTTTTGCCGTCCGGACGTGCCAGGTATCAGTCAAGCGATCCTGAAGGGGAGGAAGCCCTAATCGGCCAGGGCAAGATTCAATCCGGATTTGGTCTCTAGAACGCGCGCATGGCAAGTGGCTCCACTATCCACTACACAATAGATATTAAATATAATATATCATTTCTAAATTTTATCATTTTCTCAAATGAGTTATTCCTGATTGGTCGGCTAAAATTTGCCACTGCTCGTTTTCACTTTCTTACTAGTCCTTTCCGTGATCATAGGTACATAATTGAAGGCAAGCTTCGGGCAATAATGAGCTAGAGGTTGAGAAAGATCTGGAAAAGAAAAAGAAAAAGAGAAAGCCCCGTTCACGACTCGAACAAGGACCTGTACTTTTACAGCCGCATTCTACCGTGGGAGGGAGAAGGGGCGTGTCGGACGAGTTTCACAATCTTCGCTTCGGTAGCTTCAGTGCCAACAACACAACCGCAATGCAACCACTGCAGCAACTTTGAGGCAGCGTCACGTGGCAACCTACAGCGAAAGGCGGGGCTTGCCGGCGAAGGAGTCGATTGCGGGTCGAGCGAGGTTCTAGCGCCTTTGTCGCACACTTTCAAGCCGCAGAAGAGGCGATCAACACTTGACCGCCTGTCTACTGCCTCCGGGGATGGAACAGGTGAGCTCCTAATCCCGGAGCGTGCGAGAGGTTTCTTGATAGGGGGAAAATTCTGCTCCCTTTTCTGAATATGAAACGTCTGGAGATTCTGGGCCTTTCATCTTTCGTGCCAGGACTTTTGTTAATGCATACCTGCTTGTTATTTTACCTTTTATGCTCTAGAGCACTGGCGCCGTTTGAAAAAAAGCAAACTATTTGAAAATCTTCGTTCCTTTCCTACTTGCAAACATTACGGACGGTCTCTTCAGCTTGGCCTTTACCCTGCTTTTCTTTTTCTTGCTTTCTTGATTCTGCATTTGTTGATACCAAAAAACAGGGCGCACTCACACGAGTGTATCACTAAATGAATAAATAAATAAAGGTGACAGCTCCAATCACGACGGTGCGCATAAGGCGTGTAACTCGATTCGCCACCGCGAAATCAAAGTGCCGTTTTGGACCGGGTACCTACGCTGGATGAAACTAGAGTTCTGTGCATTAATAAGGGGAAGGCTGTCAAATGGACGGATGAAACGCGACTTCTCGGCGAATTGCAGAACACGGAACACGCCTAGCGATGACCTTTCTTACAGTAACGAGCCCAGATGAGCTCGTGTCGTCCAATATATTGTAGATACGATAGTGCAGCCCACGAGTACAACTAAGGTGGAGCTGCCGTGGCTCAAATGTGGGCCACAATGGCACTAGGCTCCTACAAAGTGAACTAATCACGGCTAGTGTGAACTAATGGAAGAGATGCCTGGCGCACACCCTGTGACACGGAAGTGGGATACGATACAACAGCTGACTCAAATACGCGCGAGTTGGTGGAGCCATGGAGCAAGCAGTCGCAGGCAAATTCCTCGACACGCTCCACCCTATTTCAAGGAGTAAGAGAAGGAGTCGCTGCTTAGAAACAATCCATTTGTCAGATCAAATCTGTGGGCTGCTATCCCACCAATTTGATCTGAGGTTGTTGTTTCAAAGTACGGCTGTCTATCATAGACGCAGTTCACTGCACTGATCCTGGAACAAGGTTAGAGACAGCGAGTCGGATCTCCATGGACGACAGCGTCGAATAGCACACCGCAGATTGTTCTCGGTAAAAATTTTCAGAACATTTCAATGTTATCCCGCTATCTTCTATACTGACTGCTTAGGTATATTGCTCACGGAGGAAGAAAGCAAACCAGCCCTTTTGGCGCTTCTGCTGGGGCTGTATACTGAATGTTGGGAAGGGGATGCGGTCTCCGACGGTCGACGTACTACTTTAACTCGGTCCTTAAAACTGCCTTAATTTAATGCTTGCCTCAACTAAGCCCTAAAGGACCGTAGTTCCGTCCCCTCTCCAAGGCTTAGTCCTGTGGTAAGCAAACCAGCCCTTTTGGCGGAGCTGCTGGACCTAGCTGCACCACTTCGTCACCATTCTCCTACTGTACCGACCGAGTTCAAATAGTCCGCCGACCCTGGGGACCCCATCCCCTCCCCAACATCCGGCATAGGGCCCCAGCAGAAGCGCCAAAAGGGCTGGTTTGCTTACCTCCTCATGGAGTAACACTTTTTTTCACTATTCTAATGGGTTTTCCCATAATTTCTGTACGAATTTCGACACCTTTTCCACTTGTTTTATCTTTCCTAAAGACCAATTGATCAAAGGTATAACCATTATCATAGTCACTGATATGCATTCATTCGCCAGGAAGCCTCCGCATGATTTCCTTTTAGAGTGGGTGAAACCAGGAGCTGAAGTAGTGAGCAAGGGTTGTAGAATGGTTGTACACAGAAAAACCCTTTCTCTCGCCACTGCGGCTTCGAGGCACTGCAAATGGGATAGCCCGATAGAGCAATGCCAGAGTCATATGATGGATATGGCGTCGTGGACCATCTAATTTCCCTCAAAACGTGGCGAGATATCTTTGCAATGTGAGGTCGGGCGTATATTCGGAGAAAGGGGTTTTTGAGACATTTAGGACGGTTCTCTCCCACCACTGCGGCCACCCCCGGAGCTGTTCCCCATTGCATTCGCAATACTAATATAACAAAACAAATATGAAAACGGAAGACCCACTCAGTCTATCAAATCAAGAACAATAACATCCGATAACAAAACAAATATGAAAACGGAAGACCCACTCAGTCTATCAAATTAAGAACAATAACATCCGAACATAGAGTTTGAGCTTTGGCGGAGCTGGTGAGTCCTAGCTGCGAGGTAGCTATCAGACGTCCCGCGTCTTGTTGTCATAATGGACTCATGACTCATCGGCGATCGGCTTGGAAAAATCCCGTCTGAGCGGCAGCAAGGAACAGGCTTCCGCAAATGGCCGGAGTCATGGCGGTCGGCGCATATGGTTTTTATCTTCCAACTTAAGGCACAAAGCGTCCTCATCGGAAGTGAGTGGAGGACCTGGGTAAGGCTTATTTTCACAGCCCGTATTGTCTTTACCTTTACCTGTCTTGCGACCGAACCACCAGCTCAGTGACCGATCAGCAGCACAGAAACAGCCAAACATAGTGCTGATCTTCTCTACTGCCCTCGTTGCAACAGCGTCTATTGCAGGATCATAAAGCATAGTAGTTCGCTATTTTTATTGATGTATTTCGACTCCTACTTAGATATCGCAATGCGGGTGTGACCTTTCAAAACGTCCTGGCTAACGGCCTAGATACATTCTTTGAAATACCAACATATTTCGCAATGACACTAATTCGACTAAAGAAATTTATCAAGAATCGTACAGGAATCATAGGACAACCCAGTATTTTTTGAGGGAGAAATCGCATCCAGACCGAAAGAATACCAAACTTCCATTCTGACAATTTTTAAACAACAACTTTGAAATTTCTATCAAAACGGGTTATAATCAATTAAACCATAGTAAGATTAATATATTAGGCGTTTCAGAAAGTTCTGTCGTTTTCCGATCAAGAATTCCAAATGCATGTATCTCGGCTTAAACCAAACCGTTCCCGTTGAAATGAAAATCGTTCGAATGCGTTAACCTTCCTCTATAAGAAGACGTTTTAGTGGTTACCTTTGTTCAGAATGCTGGAGCCCTGGAGGCGGTTAACTGGGGAGGTCGTTTTAGCATCGGGTTGTTTCTGAACCACTTCTCTTTGAGGGAACTATCGAGGCTCCCAGAAAGTGATAGATGATAACCAGAGGTATGCTGAGTGAAATATCTGCAGCACCCTTCCTACCTTAGCTGGACCAACTTGTGCAGGGTTGGTTGTGCGACATGCGGGAAAGGCAACTGCCAGAGATGTGTCTGTCCCTTAATTATGAGAAATGCTAAACCCGTTTTGAGGATTTTGGTGAAGTTTGACATAATCTTAAGAGATATCCTCCACTGTAACAGTTTCACCTGATACGAGGGAACTTGGCCAGTCGCTAGTTTGATGAAAGTTGCCATAACCCACCTTCAGCACAGCTGAAGCTTCGAAAGATTTTTAGACTCGATCGCCGTCGAGTTATTCAGCAAAGCTTCGTGGGTTGTAGAATATCGTTTCCTCATTGTACGTCGCAAAGTAGTAGAAAGGCGAGTCGCTCACCCCATATAAAACAAGGTAAAAATTGAGGAACGACCTTCCGAAATGGTGCTTCGTCGCGGCATGCCCCTATCAAATTTTTTGGATTTTCCAACTACTTTCTTATAACTTGCTTCCACAAACCGTTCATACGTCCAAGTTGGGCAGAACCTCCTCAATGGTCCTACGCACGAGTGCCTCAATCAGAACTTTTGGCTAGTCGGTGGCGCGTCCGCGACCTCGCTGTTATCATACTCAAGGCTCTCGCTTCCGTCACAATAAATTTTTGAACTACTGCTTCATAGCACATTAATTGCGAATCTAAGCCAGGTGCATCGTTATTGTCTTGAAAGGTTCCCGCTACTTTCAAGTCTATTTGACCCTTTGACGAGCGCCGTCATGAATGCGTCACTTCACTTCTCTCTAAATTTTTTCATCACTAATCATTAACTCTCCAACAGTTTCACCATTAGTGATTAGCGCATTATTACGCAAAATGCCAAAAAAAAAACCTAAAAACGTGTCGCTA